CACAATGGGTTAATCTGTTCTCTGCCCACCACAGGTATCGAAATCCGGATTCTAGCGTTATAAGTCCGCAGACGTACCACTGTGCCGCTGGTGGGCCAAAATAACAGTACCTTATTTTATAACATTTTTTTCCTAAATCCCTTCCTTAATGGTAATTCTTTCCTTATTAATAACGTACATTAATTTTGCACATTTATTATTATTAACGAAATTAATTTTTTAATAAAACTTCTAAAATTGTGGTAAAGTGAGATTAATGCAGAATTTCAAATTCAGTCTTCCTAGTGGAGAATCATTGTGATATTTCAGATGAAAAGTGACTTTTACTGCTGGAGAATCCAAACGTACGCTATGAATTGAATTGTTTTGTGAGCGAAGGAATCGCAAATCCTTTGTACCGAGCTCGTTGCATAGAAATTTGCAGGAATTTTATAATAACTCGATCTTCGTTAAGTTACACAAGTATTGTTTTTACTTCAGTATGAGTATAATGTAACCAAAAACATCGAAAAATCATGATGCCAAAAAGTGACTTATCACGGAGAAAGTTTGAAACTTTGAGAAAGAAAATGAAACGTCAGGATGCAAGTTAGAGAAATAAATGGACAGGCTTCCTCACCAAGTTATGAGGCAAGACCCAGTGACAAAAACCAGGAATAAACCCGAAATACAGATACACATCAAATTACTCGCCAAGATCCAGTGAGAAGATGCCAGGAACAAACCCGAAATACAGAAGCACCTAAAATTGGTCGCCAAGATGCAGTTAGAAGAAGTCAGGAGCAATTTCGTGACAAAGAAGTACATCGTTCAGCTCAACAAGAACCTGACCGAACAGCAGCCCGTAGGTCGGAGTTTCTGCTAGTATTGAATAAACCAAGAATCACACCGAGTGCGGGCCATTGGTTCGCGTCCCGTAATTATAAAAAAAAAATACATAAATCGTACTCCGCACTTTGGGGACGTGGATGTGTTATAAGAGTGACAGTTAAGTTCTACTGTTAGACGTCATAAGAGTAGCTCAAGGGTTGGCGGTGGGTGATGCTGATGGGTTTCCTTCCTTATAATCTATCACTTTAAACTTAAAGAAGTCTTGCGCAGATAGCCCTCGCGTAGCTTTGCGTGCAATTCAACAAACAAGCAAAACAAACCAAGAATTAATACTTCCTTTCTATGTTTGAATAATGATTAGTTGAATTGTTTTTGTCAGTGATCATAGGGCACATTCTATTACTTATGTCCTTCATCTTTACTGATGTTCGCAATTTTTTTTTTCGCTGAAATTTTAGTTACACACAAAACTTTTGACAACTACGCACATAATTTTCTCTTGAATGATTCATTGCCTATTTAAGTGAGTTAGCGAAGCAAAACAAGCTTACTTCACGCTGTGATTTCAGTAGTAGGCTTAGGTTCTTGAAGTTACGATCCTAGAAACTGCTGGAGCGTGATTTTTACTGGTCATCCTGCAACAGTTCTTTCCCACTCAACGACCAGCTGTCGAGGGCCAGATCCGATCACCTTCTTGCGAAGCTTGTATGTTCAGCGCGCATTGCACCTGCTTTATTTCTAACGATTCATCTCGAGCCCATTCACTTCTTAGCTCTGGAGTGATCTCACCTGCGCATTCCTTGGTGGTAAGCAGCAGACGACAAGCGCGTGGGAACGGTTTATTCTTCCTGTTGTTGCTCAACATATTTTGTAAAGAAGAAACCAGGTGAGCTTGAAGAAGCAGGAAGTGCGTCATCTTCGAATTTTGACGTAGCTTTACTAACTGAATGGGTTAATTTGTTGCCCGAGGCTATACGAGTAAACCCAGTCCTTATAACCTCACCACGTATAAATATTGAACTGGTATATTTAAGTGTTTTACACTCACAAAAATGAAACCTATCATTCTATAGATATTTGAAGAACTTGTAGCATTCCGCC